AGTGATAGGTAGTAGCATAGCCCCACTGTTGAGTCGTTAAAAAAGCTGATTTCAAGTTGTTTTCATAACATTGTGGTAAAAATTTAGAGCCTTATCTAACACCAGCACTTTTCTAGCGAACTCCAGCAAGTTCCACAGCTGGTAGTTGCTATAGTGTTTGCTGGTTTGGTCTGCTGCTGTTGATAGGATATGTGCTTTATCTTGATCAAAAAGCAAAGTTCACATGAATCAGCAGACTTGAAATCTTGAAATATGATCTTTTTTTTCTCTTTTCCCCCACTACACTGCCTTGCCTTGGACATCTCCGTGCCCTAGGTGTTCTCTGTGGCTTGGTACTGGCCATGCCCGGTAAGGAAGCCAGTCCGGAGCACAGGCAGAGATGGGGCAGAACTGTTCAGGACGAGGCTGTGCTCGGCCCCCGGCATCAGGACACCCATCGTAACAGAAACCTTAAAACTTGCACAGATGGGAGGCCTCGGGTACCTTAATTTAAAAAAACGATGTAAGCAGGCATTATTTCCTGCATTTATGCGTAAGATGGGGCTACAAAATCTAGAATTTGCAATTTCTATTCTAGAGTTATTTTAGTCTGCATACAAAGTCAAAAATTACTTCATGCTTCTTGCACGAATAATCATAGAATCATAGAATTCTTAAGGTTGGAAGGGACCTCAGAGGGCATCTAGTCCAACCCTCCTGCTCACACAGGGTCACCTAGAGCACGGGGCACAGGGCTGCATCCAAGCGGGTTTTAAAGATCTCCAAAGAAGGAGACTCCACAGCCTCCCTGGGCAGCCTGTGCCAGGGCTCGGGCACCCTCGCTGTCAAAAAGTGTTTTCTCAAGTTCCTGTGGAACTTTTGGTGCTTACTTTAATCGTAAAACTGTAGGCTGCAATACACTTAAATATAAGATATTGTAAGCTAGTAGAAAAAATAAGTTTTGTATTTGCAAATCACATGTAAAATATTGCCTATAAGCTTCATTTTGTGTGTGAAACCATTCTTAGACTTGGAAATGTTTTTTGTGATGCGAGAGAGAACTTTTCACTTGAATTTAAAAGTTAGTTTATTTTGCATCTATACATTACTCTGGATAACTTTGTTTAGACCATGTTGAGACAAAGGATATTATATTAAAGCTCCATATAATTTACTTGGCTGAAACTAGGAGGAGGAGGCTAAGATATTCTTAAGAATGAAGATAAATTATTCTATGACTTGATTTTCGTATCTAATCTGGGTTAGTTGGCGCTACAAGTGTATTTTGCATGTGAGCAGTCTGGGTTCTTGTAATATACCTGGTTCTGGTGGGTGGGAATTAATTCTGCTATGCTTTCAGATGTTAATATTGCTAATATATAGGTATTTCTCAGTGTTGTAGGCAAGGCGTTTCATAGAACTTTGAAGCTGAAGTCTTTTTTAACGCACAGACCATTTCAATTTAATACGTTAGCAACTTGGCAAAATAAAGTAATTGTCCAACAGCGGAAGAAAAAAATCTATTAACATTTGCTGTGAATCCAAATGTTACAGGCAGCACTTAATTAATGGAACAGATTTCTCACTATGTATTCAAGCGAACATGGCTATTGTTCAGTAGAGATTAGACTCTTAAGTAAGTTAAACTAGACCTCCATCTAAAAATATCCGTCATTTCAGCTATTAAAGGTCTGATGTCTTCTTTGGTGACAGATATATTTCCCTTCATTTCCTCGGTTTTGTAGAACGCAAAGTATGCGGCGTGTGTAAGGGGAGAAGCGCGCGCAGGCAGATGGAAGCGCGATTAGGCCGCCCCGCCGGCCGCGCTGCCCGCTCCTTTGAGCTGCTCCGCATCACGGAGCCCCTCCAGCCTTCAGACCTGCTGGCACCGCGGCGCGGCGGGAAGGAAAGGCAGAAACTGCCGTTCGTTAGGGTGTGATGCCAGCCGCCTAATCTGTTTGCAGAATGTGAGCCGGGGAGCTGATTAGGTAATTTAGATACCTGTGAATTTAATAATACCTGAGTTGCCTTTGGCTGTCAGCCTGTAATTTCTCCTGTAGGAACTACCCCGTTCTTCCATTTCTTCTGTACTCTCCTTGCCAGGATAGCTTATCTGAGCCAAGGTAGGTGTTAGTGGCTGCGGCCGAGGGTATCTTCCTCACATTTGGAAAGTAACGTCCTGGTTTGGAGGAGCTGACATCACTTGTTTTTAAATACAGTTTTTCCCCGATACAGTTCCATGTACAGCATATGCATTTTTTTAATTCAAGATGTATATACATTTTTTTCAGTCATGGGATTGCCTGTTTAAACCCCTAAGTTAAGCAGCCTGGTTTTCAGTGCGCTGAGCAGTCCAAGCGCTCACTGATTTTACCAGAGCCTTTGGACCTCGGTTTATCCAGGGCGGTTACTCCATCCCCACCACTGCAGGAGCAGCCACTTAGTGCCGAGTCCAGGGTTTATTCTGGGGCAGGGGACGTCCCCAGGCGTGGGGACGTCGCTGCTCCGGAGCTGCCCAGGCTGCGGGAAGGACAGCAGGGTGACAGCTCGGGGGCCACTTCTGATCCCGCAACTGCAAACCTGGGCTGCTCCTGCCGTGTCAGAGCCCCTCCTTTCCGCTCGCCTTTCCGCCAATTAGGGGTTTTTTTGAAATTAATGTCACTAAGTCTATTAACATAAAGAGAAGTGTTTTAGCATTTGTTTGTTTTAATTAACTTAAATGGCTTCTTTCTGTGAGGATTTAGAGTTAAATGCCTGTCTTCAGCACAAATGTGCCAGTAACAGCAACATAGGAATAGTGATAAGACCCAGAAAGGGAAACCAACTAGAAAGCAAAATGAAATGTTTCTTTGTCCAGAAAGTGAATGGCCTTCCCAGGAAAGTAGAGGAAACTCTGCACAGGGACACTTGCAATTAAGTTGGTCAAAACAGTAGAAAATACACAGTAGGAAATAAATCCTGCAAAGGTAGGGAGCTGGGCTGCGCGAGGTTGCAGATTTTGCCATTTTAAATTTCTTCTACTTATTTTTATTTTTTTTTAGCCATACCCAGGATGTGCTCAGAGCTTTCCGAATAGGAAATACGTTGCTTTTCATGTAATGCAAAATTATTTTTCATAAAATGGAATGATTGTAAAGCTAATGATTTATATGAAAGCATCCAATTAAAAAATGGAAACAGCTGCATCAAACATGACTATACAGTGTAATAAAGCTGTATAATAAACGTGTGGTCAGGCTCACTATATAATCTAGTTTGATTAATTGAACCTTACACGTGCAAAGATAGGTTTTCCTTGATGGTTGAGAAGTCTGATAATGACTATCTCAATTATTTTCGCAACGAAATAATCATGGCTTTTTTGTGCTCTGCTGTCTGAAAAGAGAAAACCGGTACCGCCTTGACTGCGAAACACAAGATCTTGCAGAACCATGCAGAGTCAGTTCTGCCTGATGTTGGATTTTTATAGCCTTAGTGTAAATTTTAATTTAGTTACATAGGTAAAATGTTGCTTTTGTCGTGTCCTCTTGTGCTCTTAGATTTTGGGGGGGAGAAAGCAAAAAAGCAAAATAAAAAAAGAGCGTGTTTTTTCTCCAGGAAGCGCGGGGACTTCTCTAGGCTGCAGAGGTGCCGCGGGGCCATGTGGCCCCGTGTTATGGAGACCCTTGATCACAAAGCGGCAGCTGGGCAGTTTGCTGGGCTGCGTCAGCACCTCCCTGTTTCCTGCCTCCCCCTTCGCTGTGTGGGGCAGGTGCCCATGGGACAACCTGCCCCGTGGGACGAGCTGTGGAGGGGGCTCCGGTGCCGCGCACCGGCTCCGGGTGCCCTCTGGATGCGCCCGTAATGGAGCAAATCACCTGCCGTGTAGACCTCCTGTCTCCAGTAAATCATAAGCATCTCAATCTTTTTGTCAGGCTGCGATATGAGAATCCGCATCTGAATTTCAGTATGAGGGGAGAGAAGCTGATTAAGTGTTTGAGATAAGGTTATGTGACACCGCAGGTTAAAAATACCTGAGCTGAATTTGGCCAAATGCCTGAGAACCACATTGCGGTGGCTTCGGGTGCCACTGAATAAGCTTCTTCCAAGGAACTTGCTGTCCTCACTTTTAAGAAAGCAAATTTTCCAGAGTGATCTTTTGAGGAGCTGCATCTCTCTTATTTTGCAGCGTTGCTTCAGACTTGACTATCTTGGGTTTCTAGCCAAAATGCCGTCACTGTGACAAGCTAAAATAGAATACAAAAGTGTAAGTAACTCCAGCCATTTAGGAAAAAAGGACAGGTATTTATGTTAGGACACATGTTTAGAGAAGGATTTAGATTGATATTTAAATCCCCAGAATCCTACACAGCCTAATTGTGGTTTATTTAAGAAGTGGCAGTGTTAGGCGGTTGCTGCTCTTAACAAATACTATGTTTTAGCAAGAAATACAACTGCGTCATTGTGTAAAACAGAGCGTTGTGATTCAGGCAAGTCTAGGAAAGGAACTAAAGACATTCGAGAACCTCTGAGCCTTAGGGCTTTACAAAATCTCAGTGTTTAGCTCGTGGTTATTTTTCATTCAGGACCTACGCTTTTGTGAATACTGTCAATTATGAGATTTTAACACCCAAACAGCTACCAGGAGAAATTGTGGGAAGTTTATGCAAAACAACAGAAAAGGTTTAGCTGAGGCAAGTTGGCCTGCCATGTTTAAAGATTTGTCTGTATTTAATAGTTTAAAATCCACGGAGAGACACTGGTGATAGAAGAGTCTGATTGAGGGTGCACAGTGAATAGGGGTCTGACAGTGATCATGCAGGCAACTGCACTGGCCTGGGGACTTTGCTCTTGTAAACTATGTTTGGAGACCTCTTTTATTTTTCCTAAGTTAAAATATTCCAAAAGCATCATACAGATGTAATTTTCCTGATATATGTGATTTATTTTCTTATTTCCCTCAGCATGCTCATTTTTTGCTGGATATGGAGCAGTGTGGTGTTGAGAGGCTTTTTATGCATGTTGCTTTTGTTTGTTTTCAGACGGATTGAGGCCAGATACCAAGATGCTTCTCGCGGTTTCCTCCAAGAAGAAGTCAAAGGCCGGCAAGGGGGACCCAGGCAAAGAGGAAGAAAGCAGCAGGAGCGATTCGGCCCAGCCCGTTGGCATCAGCCTTGTCTTTAAAAGATACGTCTTTGACACGCAGAAGAAAATGATCCAGTCTTGAGAAAGCAATTCCTCCCTCGCACCTGAAAGAGCAGACTCTGAGATGAATTCAGGTGGAATGTATTTCTTGTCTGAGTGCATTGAACTGGTTCCTTCCTTACGGCTGGAGCCAGGAAGCTCCTGTTTGCAGGATCCCTGTGATCTCTTTTTGTTCTGCCTGTCTTTGCAATGTGAATCTTGATGGCCTCCTGGAGAACATCACCTGCTGAATGAATCCATGTGCTTATACATTCAAATAGCAGCATATTCCTGAAGAATTGTTTTGAAGTTTCTTTAAATTTAGATGTTTGCCACCAGTGTTAATCTAAATGCAGTCAAGATGTGCATTTCATGCCACCCACAAAACAAAACTGATTAGTCTAGGTTTACTTCCCCAAGCAATGTGAGGACAGAGCATAATAGGTGAAGCCTAAAATGAATGTTTCACATTCTTTCAACTGCAACTATGTAAGATGCTATCTGAGAGGTGGTATGGATTTTTTATAAGTATGATTTATATCTTGAAATGTTTTTCACATTAAATATAATGATGCATGTAACTGAGAGTCTTAATTGTTCTATTTGCCATTCCAATGTTCAGAATCTCTCTTCAGTGACATTTTATGTATTTCTTTCTGAATTTCCTGCCTATTTGTTTGTTTCTTCTAAGAAACTAGAAGGCTAAGCCAGTCTGAACCATGGTGAATCTTCTTCTGGGTTTCTTTTTTTGGTAACCAAAATGTCTCTTTCGTATAAAAGAAAGTTGCCTCTGGAAACAGCCAAGGTCTTTATTTCATTAGAATAATGATGGAAGATTGTAGCATAAGCCTTGTAAAATGAATATCTCCAAGATGCGTTAGTAGTTTAATGGAATTTCATGGCTGCTTTTGTTCTTCCTCTCAACTTTTTATCCTAAGCTCATGGGAAGGAGGGTGGAGATATTCCTTTATAATTGTTTTATGTCTATTTTTTAAATTTACAAAGCACAGGATATTGTAATAGGAAACCAAACAATAATGATGCAGGTATGAAAGCTGCCGTCTAGAACAGGACTGAGACGTGGGGTTTGCAGCATGGAAACTGTTAGTTTCTGCCTTTGAGCAAGTTTTCTGCCTTTGAACAAAATAAGTACCTCTGCTTACTGCTGCTAATGAGCAGCCTTTAACCTGTAGGATGAAGCAGCCATGAGATGACCATGTGTATAACAAGTTTGTTGCTTGTACATAGAAATAAATAACTGTAATAGATTATTGTATTTGTTTATCAAAGTGTAACTGATAATATGTCCTTTTTTTTGTTGTTACTATGTTCCTGTTTTTTCCTGGCTTTTTAAATTTTCTTTTTAATTTCCAGGTGACAGAAGTGGACAAGGAAGGCAAAAATGTGAGATAATAAGAGGATCTTTACAGCGGAACGGTCAGGAGGCAGGGCAAGTGTGGTGTCCAGACTAGCTGGTGGTGTCCCTTTAAATCCAAGCAGAAAGAGGGTGTTGGGGAATAATCCCGAACAGTTTCTGCTGAGTGAGTCCCAGCAGAGCTTTAGTACATCCCTTAAGATTACAGGGTGTGCGTTCAATGTGATCCCAGAGGAATTAGGCAGCAGCTTCAGCTGTGGCTTAATGTGACTCGTGCTGCCAGCCTTGCTGAAAACTGTATCCTTCTGTCAGGAAAAACTGCATTTCCCCTCCCTGTCATGCCTTCTTCCCCGCTTCTGTCCACTTTCTGGATGCTCCCCCCTCCACCTCCAAAGGCAGTCTTTGAAAATAATATTTATTATGCTATCTTTCTCTTAAGTCTGTATCAAATCGTGTTTTGAATCCTGTACTGTTGCCTCTGCTTAGGATACTGCAACAATGGAAGCTAGAGAAATAGATGAGAAAAAGGGGCTGCTTTTACCATACCAGGTTAGTCTAATATTATTGGTCTAAAAGTCTAAAATAATTTCTAGAAAATGAAAAGTGAATTATTAAGAACTTTTTTTATTTGAATAGTCCCAGTGAAGTTCTTTAGCAAATTTTAGATGAGTAATTAAATATTACTTTTTCTGACCAGAATTTCAAAAATAAAAGGATAATCATTGTGAAATTTGTTCTACAGTGCAATATTGGAGGCTGCTCCAGAGTTGTCAGCTTTGTGCTTACAGACTTTTGCCTTTCTCATTTGTAAAGCATTTTGGAATAGTTCTGGAGAGAAGGCATTATGTCAATGTAAATAATGGCGTGTATTTTTACAAAGCATCATCAGGTTAATATTTTTGCTGCCCATTGCTGTCCATAGCAGCCTCAGTGAGCTGGTCACTTGTTATGGAACTTGTTTGCTTGGAAGACACATTAGCTGGAGAGCTTGCAGAGCCCTAGAGCCCTTGACTTGGCTGAATACTCCTCCAGTGTTGAGGGTCCCATGACTCATTCCCTTGGGGAACTCCAACAGCAGGAGCTGCAGCAGCTTCCCAAGTTGTACCTCTGTCCCCTTCTCCCGCAGTCTCCTGCAATGTCCCTTTAATCTCTCCCCTCACCTGCATGTCTCCTCTCCAGCCTTGGCCACTAACTAATGCATCTTATCCTCGTCCTCTCAGTTCCACATGCTCCTTCTTCCCAGTGCTGCTCGTTTGCCCCTTTGCTTACTGCTTCTCCCTGTTTTGGCTCTTGTCTCGCATGCAGAGAAGGAAATGTAAATGCAGGTGCTGGCAGAGCTCCCGTGGCCGCCGTTGGGAGCACAGCGTGGCAGAGAGGCCCATGTCAACAGCAACATGTGAGTGGCCTGTGTTCAGGCCCTTTGATGAACACAGGAGGCGGTCACCGCCTCATCAGGAGCAGCCTGTGTGCAGACCCATCAGCCACAGCTTGGAGCAGACATCTCATGTGGGTGACAAGTATTAGCCTGGGAATAACAGCAGTCTGGCTAGAGACAGGCACCCGCAGGCCCTGCCTGGGTGCTTTGACCCACCACTCTGCTCTGGTAAAGCCCCTGTTACAAAATCCCCTGTCCTTTTGTTTTGTTCCCCTGACAGACACCTGTGTAGGACGGATGGCTGCAGGTATCTTCTGAAGGCTGGGATTTGGTTTGGGGCTTCTCTCTTTCTCCCTCCCCACTTGCCCAGCTTTTTAATTCCAAAAGGAGAGCTTAAGTGTGCCCTAGAACTTTGATTATAATGTGCTATTACTGTAGATCTCTGGCGGCTGTCCTGAGGCTGTTGGATACACATTCGAAAAAGGGTGAAATGGTGGAACAAAATGATTATGGGAAAATCAAAGCTTTTAAAGACATTTGTTGGATGAACAGATGTTCAAACATTCTTTTATTTGGTTTCCAGACAGACGTAGAGACTTTCCTTTCATCCTCATAATCAGTGCATTATGCTGTAATTTGTAAAAATGGCATTAAAAAAATATTAACAGGGTCATACTGTGATCTACTGACTCTGTGTCGTTAAGCCGTGAAGCTAAGAATGGCAGTGGGGAACAGGGGTTAAATGTGGCAGAATGTACCGTGCTAGTGTTCATTGTTAGACAGCATTAAAATGAATGTAAAGTGGAATAAAGATGTGAGGATTTTTCAAATATTGCTAAGGTTGTCTCTGCAGAACTAGGCGTTTTTGCAGCAGTGTAGATGTTCAGCGAATGATGCATCTTTGGGCTCTGGGAAGAATAACAGTGAGGAAAAACTTGGTGGGGGGCACAGTTTCAGCCTGTTTTGTGCTTCTGTGTGGATTTTATTTTGGTGCTGCAGCCTGGCTTTTGGTTCTGCTAGAGGTCTTGAAGTGTGAGAGTCAAAGCGTATGATCATGGTAGGAAGGATTCAGTAGGTGGCATCCTTCACTTGGGATCAGAATTAAATTTCCCTGCATAAACAGGGGTAAGTTGTGGTGTTGATAATGAAGACTTGGGATGAAGCTTGAAATCTCTCCCAAAGAAAAAAAATAGTACTAAAAAATATTATGCGTGTAATGACTGCATCAGAGTCATTAACGCTGGTCTGCTGACCAAGTCCCAGGGTAGTAATGTCCTCCCTAGGTTTGGTTCCTGGTGAGTCTCTGTTCAAATTGTGTTTTGTCCTTGCTTCCTGTCAACTGTGTTAATTGGTTGCAAGTACTTGACCCCAGATAAGTCATCTGCACTAGTAAGAGTTCTTGGAGCACATGAGGAATCTCCTTTCCATGGGCACTGAGCATTTCACCGGCTCGTAGGGGTTGTGCGGTGGAAGAACCACAGGGTGGCAGAGCAAAAGTGAGAGCCCAGAATGATGAGGAGCTGCAATGACCAGACATGTCCTAGAGCAGCCGTGTTCCTCCCCAGGCCTGTCTGCATTTCCCTGCTGGGAGAGCAGGCTGGGTATTTACATCTGTAAAGTGCTCAGGGATCTTGTGAAATGAAGGATGAAAGGCAAGAGAGGAATGAGAGTTATTAACAGCTTTAAAAACTCCTTGTGTTTCCATTTTAGTTTAATATCTATAGTAAGCTGAAGAGCTCTTTATTTACAAACACATGAGTTTTAAGCCAAATTAAACTGCATGTATAAATAGAATAATTTTTAAAGTCTAACATAGGGAGGTAAACTGCTGATTGTGGGAGAGGGGGAAGAACTGTATGCTTCAGTCTGCAGTGAAGCAGAGCTTCCTAGATGGTGGCCATCAAGAAAGAGTTCAAGGGTTTGAGGCCTTTCACGTCTTAGCAAAATATTGGAGGAGAGGGAGTTTTCCTTAGGGATTCCCCACAAGTTTTTCCTGGTCTGTACACACTAGGCTAATAGCATAAGGTTGTGTGTCTCTCTTGGACACTGCATAAGAAGGGAAAGAGCACAATGGGTCTACTAGCCGGATATTGCCCAAGTGTCTCCATGTCTATGAGTATACAAGTGAGGGAAGGAATCTGTTTAAAACTTCTTTTTGATCAGGATCAGCTGTAAAAGTATCTAATCAGACATAATTAGATAACTCAGTGAGAGCTTTGGTATTTCTTAGCCCTAACCTGAACACCAAGCCCTGCTCTTTAAAACCATCATCCTCTTCTGGCTGTTGAGCCTTCTGGTCTGTGTTTCTAAACCAAGGGGCAGTTTGAGGTGTGGATCAAGAGTTACTGAGCAACCTGGGTACTGGCTGAGAAGCCAGCTAGTGTCGTTATGGTGGCGTTTTGGCTCAAGTGATCTGATTACTTAGGATCTTTTAACAGCTCTGGGCTTCTCATTAGCTCTGGAGATTCTGTTTAGATCAGTTCCTTTCCTATTCTTTGACTGATGATCATGCACTCAGTGCTTCACTTGCTCATTCTTAGATTTCTCAAGAGCCTCGTTCATGTCAATCAGAGAGAGTCCATCCTCCTTGGACCGCAAAATTGCTTTCATTAGACAGTATATGGCCCCCTTTCAGACATGCAGAAACTGGTTACAGTACTTGTCTGTGAAAACTGATATTATAGTGCCTATAACTTCAGTCTGACAGTTAGAGTAATCCATGCCCTTTTGGTGAATTCGTTCCCAAATCAGCATTCCATAAGGACAAGCCAACACTTAGACCCCACACAGTGTTTTTGCCTAAATTTCTTCTGTTAGCTAAGTCAAGCAAGCCACCTTCCAGTTTTCTTTCTTAAGCTCCCCTTTAACCAAGGCTAAGTTGAACTTTGTACCTTGTGTAGAAGAATAGTGTTTTATTATCTGCAGAGGAGAAACTCTCAGAAACTCTTCAAGAAAATGTCAGGTTACTCAACAATTTTCCATGTTAGTGCCCACCTGCATTAAAATGTCTGTGAGCTCTCCACAGAATATGGACCATTCTTTCTGTGGAGATACTAGAAATAGAAAGGGAGATGTGATTTGAAGAAGGAAAAGTGTTTTACCATGCTGGAAGCAGAAGAACAAAAAACATTCTACAGTTAACTGTGGGCCTGATGTGTTTTTCTGTCTGTTTGTATTCCATAACCTTTAATCCTTTCTTAGTGGGGGAGAATATAGGAAATACCCAATTTTATGCAGTGGCAAAAGAATGCGTTCAGTCTTGCCTGCAGAAAATGGCAGTTTGGGGATGAGACTGCAGTGGGCAGGGAAGGCAAGTGAAAAGGTAGAGGGATGGCTTTAAGCTGAGATGTGTTTGTAGAAACCCAGTATTGGAATGTTCTAGTAATAGGTATCTAACAATTCTGTTGTTGAGACAAAGGTATGTAAATATATGTGTCTTTTTTTAGTATAATTTCTTTGAACGTTGCAGCTGTTGCAAGATCAAGATATTCAGGGAAGCTCTCTGCAAAACACATGGTGTTCCAAGAGCTGCTGGTATTTATTTTCACAATTTCTTTCCTTGATTTGATATACCTTAAAAGCATCATTAGACTAGCTTTTGCCTATGCCCTTGTGCTGCAGTAAACACATACTTAATGTATGGGTACAGAACTGGAAAGATTTGTTTTATGGAGCTCTTCACTGCCAGTTGTGCTCCATTGCAGAGGAGAAGCGGGGCCTTCGCTGCAGCTCCGCTGCTTCCTTTCCTGTTCTTGACCTACCACGTGAAGGCCCCGTCCGAGGTTGCTGCTGCTAGGCTTGAGGCAGCAAGTCCAGTCCGTGCTCCTCAGAGTACTGCTTTTCTTTCCTGAAACAAAAGTAAAAGAAAATCTAAGATAACTTTATCTTTCACTGAGACAATGGAGATAAAATTTGTCTGTTTGTGCCCTGGTCCTTTTTGATTTGCTCTGCTTTCCAAGACAGATGATAAGATGGATTGTGTGTTACATGCTGTGCACCTTAACAAAGGAGGCTTTTTAGTGAATGTTATTTGTCTCGAGTTACTGAAATGGGCACAAGGGGAGTCGTGGTAGCTATGTCCAGAATCGTTTGCTTAATATATTAACATTAATATGATCTTTGAAAGAGCTACAAAGACCACCTTTAGCTTGCACATATGGTTTGCTCATTTATTATATTAATTTTGCTGGTTAGCTCTCCCCCCGCCTTTCCCCCCAATTAGAAATTTTAATTACTGCATGCTGTGTATTAAGATGTTAAAGCTTTGACTGGCAGTTTGGAATTGCAGAAGGATCAGCTGTCTCTGTAGGGCTGCAGCACAGCAGGGATTAGCTCGCACCCTTCTGCCTTCAGGTGTAGTCTGCTTATTGAGGCACATCACCAGAAAATGTTCCTCTAGGTGGCTTCCATCTTTCCATCACGCCTTGTCCCACGCAACCTGTGTTTAGAGGAAAGCTGCAGCTTCTCTGATGGTACACACAGTAGAGAGACCTGGTCTCAAAACCCCTTGACAAATGGGTGAATTGAGGACTGGTTGTCTGTGGCGTTGGATCAGTCTTGCCCTTCTCCTGCGTGTTCCTGTAACGTGCAGGGAGGATTCGCTGTGAAGGCAGGGGTGCTTTGTGTTCCTGAAGCCCCCTTGCCTTGTTTTCTTTCCTTCTGCTTTCAGGTAGATTCATAGGAAGACAGGGACTTCTAGATTAGAATCTAATGTTTCTGGAACTCCACACTCTCTTGGAAAGTACAAGCAGCTCTGTCATGGGTAATTATGGAATAACCTCATTATAAAGGAGTTGTTTCCCAAACTCCTCACAGTTGCTGAATATCTTATGTCTCTTAGGCCTGAATCTTTTTTTTATATTTTGTTGTTTAGTAAAATAGACAATTACAATAAACACATTTTTCCCCTCACTAAATACTCTTTTGCAGTTTCATAGTTGCTGTTTTAACTGACAGTTTTTCAGTTAATTGTATGTTCTTTTGGAACAAAAGTTTGGGAATTTTTCTTCCCTATTACTCTTTTTTTTTTTTATTTGATTTACCTTTATCAGATTGGCTCTTACTCATCTTTCAAAAAGTGCAAATATTTCCAACCTTCTCTGTTGTAGAAAATTATTCATGCTTTTAACAATATCAGATCAATATGCTCTCCAAGGTGAAGATCTATATACCATTGATCAGTGGCATTTTAATAATTCAAATAATATCTATCCGTTTTCTTAAGCATCAAAATTCCTGTCCTCTGCAGACCTGCTGTACAAGGTCCCTGTTGCATTGAGCAGCTCATACCAGTGCCCACATCATTTATTTCAAATGCTTCTGTTGATGTATCTCTGTAGGTCAATTTATTCATCTTTTGTGATTGCCTTTCATTCATCAATACTCAATTTTATTTGTCATTTGTGCCATTGCCCAGCTTTGGTGCTGCTTAAATTCCTCTTTCTCCTCCATGTCAGTGTTCGCCCGTTCCCAAAGGCCATTCAAGTAAAGCAGCACTAGGGCCAGCGTGGAGATTTTGGAGTCCTCTAATCTAATGAAATGGCATCAAAGTCTTGTTCTCTCTTACTTCTGGACTTCTACATCAGTTCCTGATACGTGGCAGGATAACCTGCTTTTCCTGAGCTGCA